ATCGTGTTTTAGACACGAAGCCGCCATGCGACCTACTGTGAAGGCCATCGCGGATTTGCTTTCCGAGATCAAGTGCCAGGCTTAGCAGATCCAACTATTTTCTTATCCTGCGACCTCCTCACTGGCGGGCGTCGATGCCGCCTCACTCGAGCTAGGAGAGCTGTATACAGACCTAGTTCTAAATGATTCTTCAACGATACGGAACACGGAAACCTCAGCATCTGCCGCTTCAATGTAGTCTCTCGTAGACAGATACTATACGAGTTTCGTACCTCGCTGTATAAAGTCTGTCAGTTACCGCGCCGTCATGTATGGAGTGCTCTCTTATTAACGTCAGATCCAAATGGCGACGTCTGGTGAGTTGCACCAAGAAACCCCAGACTAGCTCGAGTTTATTTCAAATGCCATTCGCCATGGCGAGTACCGCGACCAATCTCCTGTTCGACGGCTCACCATGTAGATCCGTGACCAAGCATTGGATATCCGTATTTCTGACCCCGCCCCCTTCACGCACATTTTCAAGCTACTTCCGTTACGTGGATGAATGTTTTGAGGCGCTTACCAATTTGAACCAGTCTAAGTGCCCTCATGGCAATGTCTTAAGTCCAGGCATGGCGGTATGTGCTCTTTTCATTTCGCGCTATAGATGCCATTCTGTAGGCTGTATGGATGTACCGTGCCACTATGAATGTCATAATTTCCCTCTTACAAGGCATAATTTGCCCGGGTTGGAGGGTACTGTGATATTTGAGAGGCATGCTGTTAACCCTCGAATTAGCCTTCAATGCGATCGTGTTCAGCACATCAAATACAGCGAGCAGACTAGGTTTACTTTGTTTCCTCCGGATCCTTAATATCAGTCTTCTTACTCACTGCCAGTTTTCCTGTGGCAGCTTTTTAGCCGATGTCGAATCGTCTCGCTTGTATTTAGAGTTCGTTCAGATTCTGTCATTCAAGCTTTCTCCAGTCTTTTGCTGGCCGCCGAACTTATACGTACATGGTTTCCTGGTAGCCGCACGGCATGGGACATACCATGTTCACTCGTCACTCGAGCGTTGCCCACGTCAAATTTTACCTTTTATTAAAACTGCATGGTTCAATCAAGCTTCAATACTCGCGGTCTGTGACACTGCGAACATTCACTCATGGCTGGCCGCTGACATGCCGACATCCGACTGTTAGTTCCTAGCATCACCTTCCCTGGACAAGCTCTGGTCAGCTTCACTTGGATTATAACACGGCCTCGTGTATTCCCCAGGGCAAGCACTGTTCGACAGGGCTTCTGGCAGAACGGCCGTAATGTTGCACATCTAGACGAATCGTTGGAAATGCAACTCAAATGGGGGGAAAAAAGAAGACGACCACAATATCGATCAGCAATATTCCTGTTAGCAGCGTGAAGCGCCGGCGAGCGCTTTTAATCTTAATGTCACTTTTCACAAACGCGCTCTTGGCAATACGTATTTCGGAGTCGTGTGACTTCCTGAACTATTATTGTATTGGCCCATCTCAGTTGGAAACAACATTTAACCCTTAGGAAGGCACCCTCATAATATTTTGAACAACTTCAACAAGCGTCCTTCCAAAACCTTTAGCCTCTTGCTTCCGCGGAGAGCACATGCACCGCCCATAGTGCGGCTCTCGCATTGAATTGGCCGACGGTACAACGTAGTACAATAAATATCATGCTCGTTCTCTGACTGTGATTGAACGCCACACGCGTCGCTTAAGACATTGTTCAGCTTCACCCATCTTATCTAACAGAAGACAGTGCATGTGTTGATCAGTAGATGCGACAGAATTTAGTTACCTCAAAATGAACTGGACAAAGGAACTCACTCAGCAAATGACCGTCAAGTGATAGCACAAATACTTCCTGCATCCTAGGAATAAAATACATCATTGGCAGGCTGGCAAAAGAGCCTTATGCCGTCGTTTGAATAGTCGCTCTGCTTGAGCCACCCATTCTTAATATCTTTGCATAGGTGTTGCACCCATTACTTTAATTTCGAGTCTGATCTGCTGTTCTCTCTGCGTGAATCTTGCGCACCTTTTTTCATCCGTATTTCCATGGATCATGACTCAGCCGCACATCAGCAAAACCAAATACTACCAACTTACGAGATGGATTGCACGGTACAGAACTAAGTTGAGTGCTGGGCCAAAAAGAAGAGCAGAGAAAGAAGAAGACGAGTATTCCACGGTTATATTTGGGGGTGACCACCCTAAAAGGTTTTCTTTTCTCACCAAGGCAAACACCGCCGGGCACCTACTTACCGTGTTTCCGACTTTGGATAACTCAGGAAGAAATTGAGCGCTCCTCGTGACTTAAAATATTATAAACCAGAGGAAGCCTGACTAGTTGATTTAAAGCAGAGGCTAAGCACCGCTTGAAGTTTAATCCGGTCGGTTCCGGTCCGTGCTGTGACGTCGTGTGTGAGTTGAACTCTATAAAAGAAGCTCGTCAGGCTCCACTATTGGCAGAGAATATTAATCCTAACAACTCTCAATACATACTCAACCATGCCCGCCGCTGCCCCCGTCGATAAACCTTACTTCCCCTTGACCGGCAACGCTAGGGACGGTTGGTCCAACGACGAAGAAGCGACGGCTACATGCTTCTGCGGCGCTGTTCAGCTGAAATTCGTAAGTTCCGCCGTTCTTGCCTCTTTTCTTAACTATTCATCACCTTTTGCTCACCGCTTTTTTAAACTGAACCTCCAGCCGACCAGCCGACCCAAGGCCCCGGCATCGTTGAGACGTTTGTCTGCTACTGCGCGGACTGCCGCAAAATTACCGCCTCCATGTTCGCCTCCAACTTTTCCATCGCCGATACGCACTTGACCCATGTACGCGGCCGCGAAAACCTCACCGCCTTTGGCCAGTCGCGCACCATCGGGTCAGGAAATACCATGACCAACTACTTTTGCTCGACATGCGCAAGACATGCGGTACGCTCATGTACCGCGTCAGCTCGGGGCTCCCCGGGATGAGCATCTTGCGCATTGGAACGGTGGACGATTTCCACCTACATGAGACGAAGTTGAAGCCCCAACGAGCAGTTTGTGGAGAGGCGGGTGGAGTGACTGCATCCCTTGGACGGGGTCAAACAGGTTGAAGGGATGACAACCCGAAAATTTGATAATTTAGACAGAACAGATGTACAGTAACTAGCAACATGTAAATCGGCACTATTGGTGAACACTGAATTATTGCATGTACAGTAGTAACTGGCTGTAGGTGCCGTCGTCAAAAAATCAGTGCTGCCTTCACACCTTCGGAAGCCCCTACAAGTTATTCCATGTTGGTAGTGTTGGAATATCCTGTTCACGCGCATCACGGGATGGTGACATCATGGTGTAGTGGCACCTGTGACATCACCTCAGGCGCTACCCGTCTGTATTGGTCTGTACACGCTTACCTGCTTCACCGCTCACGCCTGCCCGCCAAGTCGCGTTGCTGCACTCACGCACATCTGTTTAAGATTTCGCCGTCGGGCGAAGACTCTGGACGCGATGTCGGTTGCCAGGCTGACCCGTTTAAATTTGTTTGCGCTCCATCATATATTTGCTCTGATGTTGCAGGTATTTGGTTTCTATCTGCTTTGGGTTGAATCTCCGTGACTGTCTGCCTCGAGTGGGGACGAGTCTAAGGGGCGATGGGCGATATTTGTTCATTTCATTTCGCGTCTGGACTCTGGATGCCGCCGTCTGCCAGTGAGCAGTACTGTAGCATTTTACTCAATTCGTATGACGTTTTTGGTGTGACATTTGATACGAATTTATCCTTTCGTAGGATTCGGATCACCGGTGTGACATACGAAAATTTTCGTATTCCGTCCCAGCCAATCCGCGGCCGTCCTCGTGACCCGGCCGAAACCTTCCGTATGAATTTCTGGACCCCGTGACATACGAATTTTTTTCGTATAAATCTGGCGGTGTGACACGTGACATACGAATTGAATAAAATGCTACAGTATTTATGCTCGCGACGCAGACCAGTATGGCTCGTTACCAATGACAGCTGCGTATCGTCTCGACGGAGTCGTACTTCGATGGGTAATTTGATGGCGGCCGAGTGTCTCCCGAAGCCGTCCTGATGATGCAGCGGCACTGTACTTGGCCTTATTTCTCCAATGTCACACTTGTCCCCCGATGATGAACCTCACGCGTACCCGACGCCGCGCTGGTCGCTTAACGTGGTCCTCAAAAAATGGGCGCCTTTAACCACAACACAGCTCTTTGTGTTGCCCATGGCTCGAGCGTCTGAGATGCTGTGTCGAGTCCAAGCCCCAACCAAGCCCAGTATTATTTATACAGTCCATGCCCAGAGGGAGGCGGACATCGTGCAATAAAAGCTTCAGAAAGAATTGTGTCTGGCCCGGCGCCAGCAGGTTACGAGAGGCAAGCGATGAGCGGCGAGCGTGTAGCGATTCCCCGAATGGGAGGATGGGCTGAGTGTGACCAAGGACGTGCCGAGCCGTGGATTGATCCGCTTGAGCTGCCGTGGGCGGAGGTAACGTCATTCCCTTTCGGGACAATCAGACTTTACCCATCGAACGGTCCCTCCGTCTCGACGCTCCAAGTCCATTCTGCCCTCAGAGCCCAGGACCCAGGTGCCCCTCAGGGCCCACAGGTGCACTGCCCGGTGCGTTTTAACTTTTGGAGGTAGCGGCCGTGCCGTTCACGGCCAAATACGGCCGTCTCCGAAGTTGGTGACGGCACGATACCGGGCGTCTACGGCCAATGCAGCCGTGCCACGTGGTCGGAATCCGGAAAGAGCGGCATCAACTGTCGCGGCATTGAGCGCCGGATGCCGATCAGGCAAATTTGATGGAATGCGGCCCTGGCAAGTGTATAGCGCACAACACACCATGTATGTAGATGCCGCCGCACCAATCGTAGACAAAATGTATTCAAAACAATGAATGGATTTTATTGAATAACTGTGGCGTGATATCCTTCGTTGTTCACATTTTTATATTTAATGCCTGGTGTAACTCCGGAACGGTGTAGGGGTAACATTGTTGCCATTGGCTACCAAAGCTGACATAATTTGTTGCAGCCCGGGGTTCGATTCCCCGTTCCGGAATGCGTGGCTGGACAGTGTTTTAGGCCGGTACTCTTACCAAACTCTTACCATTTTGAACCAGTACAAGCCCAGACAAGCCCTCACGGTAACCCATCTCTTGTCAATTCTAGGCATGTTCTTTTTATTTCGCACTATAGATGCCATATTGTAGACTGTACACTATAGTTTGGATGTACCGTGCCAATATAAATGCCGTAATTTCTCTCTTACAATGCATAATTTGCCCGGGTTGGAGGACATTGCGATATTTGAGAGGCACGCTGCTAGGAGTCGTGATTGCACTTGTTATACTAAGCAACCTTATTACTGGATGTGGAATTCGCCTTCAACGGGATCGTGTTCAGCTCATCAAACTATATCGAGCACCAGACAAGGTTTGCAGTTTTATATCGTCTTCTTATTCACCTAATACACAGGCTCTGGACGAACAATCTCTAGCGTTACTCAGGCGGGAAGTAAGTGAAAGTGAAAGTTTTCCATTAGTGTTGCATGAAACTTGAATGATGGTATGAGGGACATAGCAAATTTAGAGCCAGCATTGGCTTTGAGCCTTTGAATACAGTATTTGGATCATACACCGGTATCGCTCCAGGGGAACGCTACAGTATCGACAGCGGCGGACCGTTTACGTCTGCGCCCGTGCCCGCGTCCGCGCCGCACGTGGGCTCTTTCTGCCAGTGCCGAGAACCGATAATGGCCATCGCGGCGGTAGGAGACTTGCCACCGGCATCATCCCAACCAAGTCCATCATGGTCAGTGGCATGCCAGTGGGATACGTGGTAGGACTCTGGACTGTCTAGGCATGTCAACGCACGACACGCCGCGGGCCGCGTGTGCCATGCGCATACCTTCGGTCCCACGTCTACAGGTGTATGACACGCCCGACACTGCCATTGGCAGCGCCGTCGGACTCGGATGCGCAGGCCACACCCGCCGCGGATTCATCTACTAGCGCAATCCGAATAGAGGTACGTCCAGCGGCCGCGGTCTGCGAGACTGCGCCAGCCAAGAGAGGCTTGCGCGGTGACGATGTGCGCGAGCGCGCGCGGGAGGAAGAGACGCTGCTAGCGCTACTCGAGTGCATGTTGCACGCGCTGGCAGGCGTCATGGTGAGCACGGGCAGGCGGCGACGCGTCAACGGCGCCGAGCCGGATGCCGCCGGCGTCGACATCGCTGGGGACGAATGTGGTAGGAGTCGTGCGTGCGCGGTCTCGCTCTGGAATGTAACACAGAATGGCATGCGCGCGCCGACGTTGACCATTTTACTGAGAATGTATGTAGAACGCGCGGACTGAGAAACGAGAAAAAACATCGTGCAGGCGACAGACCTCTCCGTGGAGCGTACAATTGCGCCCAACCTATCCCGAAAGATGCGGCCATCTACCTCCGGTGTCATAGTATTCACTCCCGCTGGGATGAGGTGCGTATTCTCGTCGGGAATAATCTGCCCCCTCATCTCAGCCGGTGCGGCGTGCATCGCTCATCGTGCTTACGGGTGAATCATTGTTCGGAGCGCGTTGGGAATGGGGAAAGCAGCAGAGGAAGGAGGAGAGCATAATGTTTTGGCAGACGACATCGCCGTCTGGAAAGAAAAGGCACGGCACGGTCGGTCAAGCGGACCGATCACCGATGGAAAGGTTCGGTCGCCGTCGGGATGCCCGTCTTCCATCTCGTTAGCCGCCGGCGGTTCGCACCCTGTGGCGGCTTTTTTAGCCGATGTCGAATCGTCTCGCTTGTATTTAGAGTTCGTTCAGATCCTGTCATTCAGGGTTTTTCCAGTCTTTCGCTGGCGGTCTCCGCCGAACATATACGTACATGGGTTCCTGATAGCCGCACGGCATGGGACATGCCATGTTCACTCGTCACTCGAGCGTCGTCCACGTCAAATTTCACCTTTTATCAAAACTGCGTGTTATCTCTGAGCAACTCTGTTTAAATACTCACAGCCTGTGTTGCGGCAAACATTCACTCATGGCTGGCCGACATCCAACTGTTATTTCCCACCATCACCTTCTTGAGACAAGCTCTGGTCACCTTCACTTAATTTATAACACGGCCTCGTGCACAAGTCCCCACTGGCAGGGCGAGCACTGTTCGACAGGGCTTCTAACAGAGCGGCCGTGACGTCGCACATCTAGCCGAATCGTTGGAAGGACAGAAGGATGTATCACTGGCACTAAGGAACAGGTACTGAACCGGCATACAAGGCGTCCTACAATTGTATGCTACAGTGAAATGGTTAAAAAAAAGGAAGACGGACCGCAATATCAACCGGCAATATATGTTAGTTCGCAGCGCGAAGCGCCGGCGAGCACTTTTACACTTAACAGGTTCGTGCGACTTTCTGAACTATCATTGTATTGGCCCATCTCGGAAACAACATTCAAGGGAAAGCCCCTTAGGAAGGCACCCTCATATTCGGTGGGCGAATTATCGAACAAGCGTCCTTCGAAAACCTTGAGCCTCCAGGGAGAGCACATGCACCGCCGATAGTGCGCATGCGCACTCTCGCATTGCATTGGCCGACGGTACACCGTACAATAAATGACATGCTCGTTGATTGAACGCCACACGCGTCGCTAAAGACATTGTCCAACTTACACCCATCTTATTAAAATTTAACAGAGGACAACACATGTGTTAGGACAAAGGAACTGACTGAGCAAATGACACGTCAAGTGAACACACAAATAACTTCCAGCATTCTGGAATAAAATCATCATTGACAGGCTGGCAAAGCTATGAATGGTCGCTCTGGTCGTCTCTGGATATCCAACCAACCCTTTGCGCTAATCCGAGGCAGCCATGTCTCAAAGCACTCGTTGGATACACGTGCCAGTGACACGTAGCGGGGAGTGCTGCTCCTCCGTTTCAACAGCGGCAGATCAAACTCAACACGTACGAGCGCACGCAAGACCTTCTCGGCCAACTCCGCGAGCTGCGCATCGAGCAGCCGCATGCAGTACTCAATCTCGCGTTCTCGAGCGCTCAGTCAAACACCAATCATGGTCACACGGTTTCCCGTGCCCGGAGGGAGGGACTGCAGGGCGCGCACGAATACGCGGAGGGCCGCAGCAGTGCTGGTCTGCGGGAACGAGAACTCGAGTCTGCGGAGGAGGGGCAGACCTGAAAGGTCTATCGGCGCGGTCCCGGCTTCGTCGACGATGACGGGCGAGTCTTCGACTTAACCTTGATTCAGTACTGGAGTGACATACGATGGTGGAACGCACACGCGACTAGCTTGAGATGGGCAAGGTTGTGCAGGGTGCCGGCGAGGGAGCGCAAGGTAAGCCAGAAATCAGCTGGGACGACCACCATGACGAGGCTGGAGAATAAGAACGGGCAGCTGGGCTTGCAGAGCCAGATGCCGAACGCCGTTGAGGCACACAGCGCGACGAGGTTGAGCTTTGGCGCGACGTTCTTGTCGTTGAGCTCTTCGTTCTCCCCTTCATCGTCGCCGGCATCATACCGCTCGACAAACTCGCCGTAATACAGTCCTTTGATAGACACGATGCTCCGGGAACAGCCGGCGAAATACGCGTTGAGCACGGAGACAGAGGGGAAGTCGCCATCGAGACAGACCAGCAGCACCTTCCCGTTGCGCAGCAGGCGCCGCACGTCCGCAATCACCAGGACGTCCGCGCGCGCGCGGCGCTGCGCCTCTGAGCAGTGCAGCGTCACCTCGCGCAGCCGGGACAGCGGCGCCGACGCGAGGGCGGCAAGGAGAACGCGGTCGAGCGATACCTCGACAATCCGCACCAGATCCGCGAGGTGCGGGGCGCGCACGAATGCAGCCGCGAGTCGCGCGACGGCTCTGCGGTCTGCTTCTGCTTCGGCGTCACGGCGGAGCGCGCCCGCCGCCCGTAAACGCGATGGTCGCGAAAAGGTGGTATCGCGCGCGCCGCATCCATATCGTCGACACGAGCGAACAGGCGGAGATCTTGTGTTGAATCCGATAGATGGTCGATGATGAGGTCAAGAAGCTCGGGAATGTCGAGCGCGCAGACTTTTCCCACTGGCAACGGCATCGCGTGTAAGTATGCCACCTAATTAGGCCAGAACAGTCCCGAGACGCGGTCTACCCACTAGGTCTTCCAATGGCACCCAGTCCCCGCTACCTTTGGGTATCAGGGTCGATGTTTGGAAAGAAGATCAGGGGGGCCTAGAGCTCACGTGCGACGTGAGTCACGTCACATGAGCTCGCCCCCGAAAGCCCCGCCATACCCCCAGGCGAAAATGGGCAGTTTTAGGACCGGATTTGGGGGGCCAAAATGGGCATTTTTGGATGAATAGTTTTTGGATGGGTTTCTGTGTCTCCTGCACTGTAATTTGAATGTTTTGGTGCTGCTTAAATTTTTATAATTGTATATAAATTGACCTCACTCATGCAGCCACCAAAATTCAAAGTGTATGCAACTACATGTTCTACTCCTCTGTGCTAGAGGCAACTGGACTTCCTGTCCTCTCAGAACAGATCTAGAATGAAATGTGTATGAGAATGCTTAAACTTTGTGCAGATTCAGAGGCTGTGCCACTGTGGCAACGCCTAGTGGCTGCGACCACCAAAATGGTATTGGATGGGGCCTAGGCCGCCTAGATCATGGTTACACTAATATAAGGGTGTGGGGAAACAAATATTCAACAGATTTAAGGTAACGTTAAAATATCATATGTTAAAAAAATCCGGAGTTAATAACATGTTTTTAACTTGTTAATAACAAAATTGATTATTCCTTGGCCGGCTGGGCATGTTAGAAAATGTTAAAAAAATGTGCAGCGTGCCGGGGCATGGGTTGCACAAATGCTCAAAGCAGACCTTGGCCTCTGGCATTGTTCTACTGATGGAGTTCGGCACTTTGACTGAACCACCATGTTGTAAGTTCGTCGTTGATCATGACATTGACCTCAACTCGCGCGGCTTGCGGGACATGCTTGCCCTGGAGAAGGTGAAGGCGGACGCAACAAACACAGAAAAGGCTTCAACTAAGCCACCACTCGCT